TGTTAATTGTTGGAATTCATTAGTTGAGCTGTGTTGTGGTTACATTTAGCTGATTTAAGGTTGAGTTTTAGCTCAACCATAACAATTGGTATCAGAGCAGTACGTGACTTGGGCGATATGGCTGAGACTAGAAGCAAATCGAATGAAGATCATTTGAACAGGTTAGATAGAAAAGTTTTAGATCTGGGTGTGGTTGCAAAATCATGGGAGGAAAAGTTGAAAGTTGTATGTACCAAACAAGACAAGATGGAGCAATTGATGGTAGAAATGGAAAGTAAAAATGAATTGATCATTTCAATGTTGACTAATATGATTGGAGCTAAATCAGTCTCGAAAGATCAGTTCAACCATTACGATTCTGTTGTTGTGGACAGAGATGAAGCAGTGGAAGATGGCGGTGAAATGGCTGGGTCCGTTCTTGATGTTGGGGATTTAGAACTTGGTAAAAAGGTTGGGGAAGAATTGGTGCCAGTGGTTGACACAAAAGTGGAGACGGTGGTTGTGAGAGAGGAATCAAAGTACCTGATGCTAAAACTGAGACAGAGATTAAGCTGGAGATAGGTGATACAGAGAAGTTTGAATATGAGGAAGTATCAACGGCTGATGCTATAGACTACAAGGAGAAGGTTATTGTTGAATTAAATGATTCAGAAATTGAGGTTGCTGACAAAGGAACTGTAGAAGAGATTTCATTCAGTGCTTTAGCTGGAAGCTTGAAACATAAAAATATTAGAGTTCTTGGGATGACCAAGGGAAGGAAAATATCAATTCTCATTGATAGTGAAAGTGCCCACAACTTTGTGGATGAAAGGTTGATCAAGGAACTGAACCATACCACTGATGAGGCCAGTGTGATGATAATCAGGGTAGCTAATGGGGACAAAATAGAGAGCAAAGCTGTTTATCAGCCTTTATTATGGAGAGTGCATGACTCGGAATTTCAGTTCAATCTAAGAACCTTGAAATTGCGGGGGAGTGATATGGTTTTAGGAGTAAATTGGTTGAGCCAATTTAGCCCTACTCTTTTTCATGTTGAACAGGGATTTATCAGATTCAAACACCACAATGAGGAGGTGGATTTGAGGAATGAAATATCAGAGAGTCCAATTAAGATGAAGAAGATAAAGGAGATAGATAAGATGCTTGACAAGGGAGCCCATGGAGCTGTAGGGCAACTGTGTTTCCTCATTGAGAATAACAAAAATGAGACTCTTGGCAAGATCATAGAGGTGATTGAACAATTTCCTAAGGTCTTTGAGGAGCCGAAAGGGTTACCTCCTCTCAGGTCACATGAACACAACATTTCATTGACTGAGAGAATACATCCATTCAGAATCAGACCTTATAGGCATCCTTTTATCCAGAAAATCGACATAAAAAGGCTAGTGGTGGAGATTCGGAGATACAAATTAAAC